ATTAATGCAGGATGCAGTCCGGTTCTGGTCCTGAATGGCAGGGAACTCAAACTGGGAGAAAGCCCAGGAGTCTCTCATCTGCTGTTCCCACTCAGGGAACCATATGATAGAACTGTGGGGGACCAGCAGTGGTTGAAATGATAAGTATGAAATGTAAATGATCTTTATTTTGAGAATGCAGGGAGAGATATGCCCGATCCCCTGGGGCGGGGTATGTCCACCCCAGGGTTGCTGATCTCTCTGTGGAACACATGGAGTGGGGGCCTATATGTAGCATAGGTTAGGGGTGGTGCCTGAGAGGGCATTAGGGATGCACAGGTAAGCCCATTGGCACTAGTTTGGCGCCAGAGGTAGATTCCTAGGGGTGGGGGAGATAGAGCCCCTTGGCTTTACCAGCTACAGTGTCCTGTCTGGGCCAAACTCTTTCAAAAAACATGTTTGCATTGTACAATTTATGGTTGGTTTTAAGATTCCTCAGTGTTTGCAAATTATGTGTTATTTCTGTCCTTTTATGTTACTTTCTGTATCAGGGACCTGGCCTAGATCCTCAGTATTTGAAATACGTGTACAGCAAAGGCTTAAATACATGAGGTAAATGGTATGATTCTAGGGCTCAGGAGGATCAAAACCCTCTATGGAATTCAGGGACTCTGGTGCTTAAGACAGGGAATGCCTCTGGATTGCCTGTATTTACGAGGTTGAAATAGAAAATACAGGAAATTGAACAGACCTTAGGAGTGGCTCAAGGACTTTGCAAGTAACCAATTATGTTAACAAGGAGAAGTATCTTAGGAGAAGATCCTCATGTTGCATTTCACTACAGGGGTGAAATTCCGGTGGCCACAGTCTTTAGTTCATTGGAATTGGAGCCAGGTGTCCTCTGCCCTTATTTTCCTTCCAGCCATGTATTCAATTTCCAGTTTCAATGGCTCCCAACATATTCCTCATTTTTGTTTAGTTTTCACACAAGATAGGTGGTAGGCTGAAGCTTGAAGAAGCTGTGTTAGGAGAACTCTCACAGTTTAAATCCTGTACAGTCCATCAGTCTATAAAAATAATCAGTTACAGTGTAGCCAGCAATTGTCAGAAGGTGTTAGTGATTTGAGCCTTCTTAAAGCTGACGTTTTACGATGTCACTGCATTATAGCTTTTTTTTTTAGAGAAAAAAAGCAGAACAGACAAAGGGTAGAGCTAATACAGAATTAAAAAAATAACAGTAAGAAATGACTAGTCAAAAATAACAGTAAGAAATCACTAGTTGATAACTTACATATTGTTATCCTAGAAGTAGTTGTTCAGGTTACAAAATCAAAGCATAAAAAATGGACAATCAATCAATGACAGTACAAACTATTCTGTTTGATGAACTAACAAAAACTTAGTAATATGGCTACCTATCTTGCAGACTTATACATACAGTTACATCCTTTAGAGCACTTTCTTTCTCTTCCATTATTACAATGTCGATTTTGGATCATACTGCTGTTTCAGATTTTTATCACTTTGGATCTTTTTACTCTCAGTTTTTTATTGCTTTTTTATACTAGAGTGTGGGAGATAACTCCAGTGACTCCCTTTGAATCCAAAACAATTACTGTGACTTTGATTATTTGGAGACTCATTTCCTTGTGTGCTTTTTATATGTAAAAAGCTGGCTAGGGTATTTCCTTCTCTCTTCAGTTGGCTCTAAGCATTGCAGTTAAGAGTAGCAGAGGTCTCTATAGCCAACAGACAGTCCTGTTTCCTAGCATAGTGTTCTCTGTGTACAGGATTAAGCAAGGGAGACGTTAGAGCAAATAGCTTTGGGAATGTCAACTGGGTACTAGCCTCAAGATAAGAAGATATGACTCCTCAGGGCACAAGAGTTTGCATATCAGAAACCAAAGCAGTAGCCAGCCAAAACAGTTCCATTGCTATCCTAGTTGGATTATTTAAATTGATCCTTCTGTGTATCTTTATGTCTTCAATTTGCAGAGATGTCCATCTTGCACCTGGCCAGTCAGCTCAAGTTACATAATTCCCCACCATCTTCACTGTCACTCATCCCTGAGCCACCCCTCTTCTGGACAAGTTAATAACTTCTGGGGGAGGCCTGGGATCAAGGTCTTTGTCCACATGTTCTCATGGGGATTGGATTTAGGACCCCTTGGCTGCCCTTAATTTGGAATATGTCTTGGTGTTTTTACTCTCACCGTGCATTGCATTGGTGGTGGGAGATTAGAATTGACTTACTGGGATTCCAATAAGGTTTCAGTGGGATTACAAATACAACTTTAGGGATCGGGAGGAAAACTAGAAAGAGGATTACAGTACTAGGATGACTGAACTCGATATATGGCTTTACAATACTAGAGAGAATATGCTTTGATGCAGGGGACAAACTTCTTGAAAGACAAAAAGGATCCAAGTTTCTGGGCCTGTGCCTCATTTGCATGGAAGACACTGAATTGGTTAGAACTTTCCCAGTACCTGCAGGCTTGAATAGCTTCACTGCTGAATTTTAACCAGCACTGAAGGTAGAAATAGTATCAGTTTTACACATTGTCATAAGAATTTGAATAGAAAAATTTCTCAACTTATGAGGTCACTGTTGTGATTATTCAGAACGGACACAAGTATCACAGAGATAATCTACACATCAATACCCTTGAAAAGAACAGACAACAATATTCTTAAAACTTAAACAATGGAGAGAAAGGCTTGTGGTTCACCACACCTCTTAGAGCATCACTGAAAAACACTAACTAAAGAGATTTCCACAGTAGTGACAGTGAATTATCATCTGAATTATTCAAGGTGATAAAAATTTAGATTACACAAAATGATCAGTGAATTTACAAAATACACTACTACAAAGCTACCTGAGCTAAAAAAAAAAAAAAAAAAAAAAAAAGATACACAACATAAATGAGTGACTTAGCAAAGAATTTGAGTCCATAAATGGTACCAAACAGAAATCCAGGAGATTTAAATTTGTATCCAAAGTGTGGCAACAGAAATGATCACAAAGACAGAGCACTGGAGTTAGAAGATCATTTGGCTGTATTTGGGCTGGTGTCAGTGCCCAAATACTCAGGGACACCTTACAAAATTGCAACATGGACAGTAGATCCAACAGCTATTAGACGGTGCACAGACAACTAACTAGAATAAGTGAAAAACCACAAGACAGCACATATGGCATAAAAATGTGACAGAAATAATAGCAGAAAACTTTCTGAATATGGGGAAGTAACCTGACATGCAGATAAGAAAGACAGATGAAACCCCAAGTAGCCACAATCAGAAAAGGATCTCCCCATGACATATGACAGTCAATACCTGGGAAGTCCAAGGTGAGAACAGAATCTTATAACCTCATAAAGAAAAGCAAGGAATCACTTATAAATGTAAAACCATTAGAAATACAGCACACTTCTCAACACAAACCATTAAGACCAGGAGAGCTTGGAGTGAGGTATTTCAACACATAAAAGAAAGCAACATCCAACCCAGGTGATATATCCTACAAAACTCTTTCAAAACCACTCTGCAGGACTTCAGGGCAACCACTTCCCTCGCTGGAGCCCAGCCAGTCCTGTCTGAAACACACTGTGGATGGCCTGGCTGCAAGGCCTCTCTAGCTTCCCTGGCCTTGAAACTGTCAGATTGTTGGACACTGTTAGTGTAGAAACAGGAGAAGTGACTGGGAGGCCCTGGCTTAGAGGAGCAGTGATCTCAGTGCCCAGGGATTTCCCTGAACTCTCAGAGGACGAGCAGGAGTTCTCCCAGGGCCTGGCACATGTATGACCGTCTTGATGTTCACCTCAGAGACAGAATACTGAACTCCAGTTGCAGGAGGTGTGTTGCCTCCCAGGATTTGGCAACTGTAGATAGAGAGCTTGTCTGCATGGCAGGATGTAGGTGAAACCTCCAGAGGAGTCTTCAAGGTTAGATGATGACACTGTGAACAGCATCCCTGCAAACTTTCCTGGTCTTGACTATTTCAGGAGCATAACACTAACTTTGTCATAAAGGTGCAGAAACATAGGTTTACCAGACACACACTCATTCTTTAGAATATTTCTATTGATGAGTTATTAACTTTACTTTTATAAGTGTTGTTATATTACACAGTGGCTTACCAGGAAAAAAAAACAAAAAAATATAAAGTATTGAATTTTTAATATTTATTGAGTGTTTATAATAAAGCATCAAAATTTAAAACATCAACAATTTTTTGGCATAAAGTCTACAAAAAATAACAAAAATATTCCTATACAAATTACACTGAAAATACCAACAGCAATTTACAAAAAAGTAATCTTCACTTCAATTATCACATCTAAATCAGTCTGTGCACATGACCACAGCGTATTCCATAGACACATAATACTCACACTGGGAGCACACGTTTTGCTGTCCTACTCTTTTTGTAGGATGTACTTGATATCTCAATGGTTTTGCTGTTTTGTCAAGGTTATTGTGCTATAGAGTGTGTAGCCAACAGGAACATAAAATATCAAAAGAAGTTCTTAAATTCTTACTGTGTGTTGTGCCTTTAGAATACACATCAATGGGGCTGGGGGTTTAGCTCAGCACCATAAGCACCTGCCTTGCAAGTAGGCAGTCGTGAGTTCAATCCCCGGTACCGATAAAAAAATGAAAAAGACAAAAAAAAAAAAAAAAGAATACACATCAATATATTTTCACATCAAAGATAACATCAAAAATAGAAACCTATGTGAACTGCAATGTAAACAGAAACAAAAATCTACCACATAAATAAGCTTTGCTTCAACTGTCATATCCAAAGCAGTCTTTGCACTTGTCATACCCAAGGCAGTCTTGCATGTTCCATACACGAGGGACACTTCCACTGATAGCATGTTTTGTTTTCCTGTATTTTCTTGTAGGACACAGTTGAGATCTTTTTGTTTTCCTCTTATCATCGTGGATCTAGGAAGCTGTGTGTGCCTATTCACCTGTCAGCTCACCAGTGCACTCCACAGTACTTCACATAATTCACTGACAAGAAAAGCTGGATTTTTCTCTGCTGTAAATAATCTCATATGAACTGTAGTCCCAAACCATAAGAACATTTCTGTTCATAACATCATCTGGTTTATTATTCTATGAATAAACACCTTGTGGCTAAGTTCAAGCTAAATGTCTAAATTGAAAGCATAAAAAGTCCTCACATGCACAAGGGCATGCATTATGCCAGAGTTGACCCATCATTTTCCATGAGGCCTTTACATTCCTGCAATCACTATGAGAAATCCCTCCTAAGCACACAGATCCATAAATGCTTTCAGTTCAGCACCATGTCATAAAACATTTTTGAATATGGCTAATGGTGCATAGAGAACACTTTACTTGAATTTTAACCTCTGTATATTTCACAGAATCTTGTAACATTTCATGTGTTAAAATTTCCAACTCTGAATAGCAGTATCAGCATTCGTCCAATACATTTCACCCTTGCCAAGTCCCTCACTATATTTTTGGACTTAGTATTAACATTAGATCATTTCATTTGGTTATGTGGCCATTTTGCAACATTTTCACTAGTCAAATATGTATTCACATTGTTTTGTCATCTTAACAAAGGAGGTCAGTATCAGTATCAGTTGATCTTTGCTCCACTTCACTGTCCCAGGAAGTTTGACTCACATGGCCAATTTCAAAGTCCTCTCCCTCCTCTTCATCGACATCCATCCATCCACAACACTCTTCTGTTATGAAAGTGTTTTGTCATAATGGATCATCTTCATCACTCATGCATGAGTAATCTGACGATTCATTCACTTGTGACCTCCTCCAAGATATAGTTTTCACATGCCATTGTACAGAACTGGGCTATTTCCACCAGAAAAATCAAAAGAAAGCTTTTAAAAAGACAAATCCTGGAGTAATGGGAGATTATTGAACCCTCTTTGATGCTTGAATAAACACACAAAAGCAGTTAGATGGAGCACAACGTGGGTGAAAATCCCATTTTGAGACTTTTCCACTTGCTCACCCACTTCATTGTTTGACACAGCAAGTTGGTAATCACATAAACTGCTTTCCAGTGTTCCTCAGGGGAAGGTAGTGACATGCCCAGCTGGCTATTGCACTAAAGTAAAATTTACTGGTACAGGATAGGCCTACTGCATGTGGTTATGTTGCTACCTACACTCTAATATGTCCTTGTGTCTCCTGAAACCTTTTCTTAACCAAAGACCCACTCCAACAGTAGAGTGGCCAACTCTTCTGTATTTGGCACAGAGGACTTTTACTTTGTACTTTTTCTACCTTCTTGCTTTGCATCTAATTGGGTGAGGTTTCCCATCTCGTCTCCCAGTCTCTGCTTTTGATTGGGAAGACACTGCCCCTTCATTAGAAGGGAATTAGAGCTTGCAAGAGTTTGCCTCTGTCAGGTGGCTGTTTCATGAGCCTTGCAGCATCTTGTCCTTGCTCTTTTTCATCTTCTTCTTCTTTATTTTTTAAAATTTTATTTTATTTTATGTTTTTCGTATCAGGGATCAAACTCAGGACCTCACACTTGCCAGACAGATCTTATGCTGCTGAGTTAAATCCCTGGCCTAAATAGAGGATAAAACCAAGGAAAATAAAACAGAACAAAACCGATCAAGATAAACCAGTATAAGTGATACAGGTCTTTAAAACTTAGAAAATCAGCAATAGTTACCATAATGCCTCTATCATCTTCAAAATAGCTGCAGATACCTTTGGACCTGGTAAAAATCAAACAACAGAATAGAGCAGAAACAACAAACACAAAACAATGACTGCAGTAAAGGACTTCAAAACAAGCTCACAGTAAGTCCAGAATGGCTACCATAACACATCTTGCTATCTTTTGAACAGTTGTTCATGGCATCAGATTTAATATAATCAAACAAAATGAAAGAATAAAACCCAACCAACAAAGCAATGAAAATGACATGGTTTCCAGGCAGGGCCCACCCCCTTGTGAGGCCTGGTTCTCGCTCCACAGTCTGCGAATGCTGCTGACTGGGAGAGAGGCTTGGGCGTGGCTGTCCCCACTCCAGCAGCAGCTGTCCTGCTCTTCTGCAGGAGTCATTCGTTTTGGAGTCAATGGGCTCGTCACCTGTGTAAAAGCTATTTATGTTTTCTTTGAGGATGCCGTGGATATAACTTTGAAAATCCCAAGGCCACCCCAGGGTGGTGTGAATCCGTGGCAGTTAAACATAGCCATATACAGGATGCTGCCCCACATCTGGGGAGTGAGTTTGTAGTTTCCTCCACGTATGCCACACTGTGTCTCAGGAAATACAGTACTACAGGGTGCATTGTTTTCTTTTCAATATGTGAGCCTCTAACATGTAGAATACAAAACCAGTCCTGATTTTCATAAAGGTCCACATATTCAGCTTTAACAGACTTTTCTTCAGACTTGAGTTCCTGCAAAAAAATTCTCCTTTGTGAGCCAGGGTCTTGCTCTGTAGCCCAGGCTGGCCTTGAACTCACAGTGATCATCTTGCCTCAGCCTCCTGAGTGCTGGATCACAGGCATGTGGGACCACAGCTGGTTCTTTCATTTCAACCTAAGGGACTCCTCTACCCAAGGCAGGCCTAGTAGGAAGGACGGACATTCTTCAGTGCTTGCATCTAGGAATGTCTGAGCTTTCCCCCTCATTTTAAGGACAGTTTTGCTGGATGTAAAATGCTTAGTTGAGAGAGCTTTTTGTTTTGTTTCACTGTTTCATTCACACAGCACATGTCCACCTGTTTCCTTCTGTCCTCCTGTAACAGAATATCCCGCACCCCAGTCAGTATACTGCAGTTCTTAGTTGTCCAGGTAACAGTTCTGTCTCTAAGAAACGGCTGGTCACTGAGACGCCTAGCTGGTCACTGTGATGCACGCTGCATAAACCAACCCCAATCAACAAGCCATTTTGCCCCGGTACTCCCCACTTGCTTATCCTATACAGGCCTCAGACCATCAGAGATCAGGCCCTGATATTCTGGGAATGTACCAATCAGTGCCCGTTGGTGTAAATAAATGTGTCTCCAACTCCTGGGTGTCCTTTCTGTGACTGTGCTTGCCGCTGCTCTCCAAGGATTTTGAGGATAAGTCTAATGATTATGTTTTTGGGGAATTGCTGTCAGCTGCACAGGCATTAATTTATTTGTCATATTTTATACACTGAACGTTACGTTATTCTAATGTAAGTGAAGTTGCAGCATCACTTTGACACCAGTAAGAATTAAGAGCAAAAGGAACTGGAGATGCTGAGTGTAGACATCATGGGATCTCTAAATGCAAGAGGTATTACAGATGCTGAGAACAGATTCTCAGAACAGAAACAAAAAGGGATATTGAAGCATCCTACAGGTCTGAATTTCTAAAACAAAAGTGTCAATCTCCATAACTCACATTAGTAAGACATTTTGTAACATTTTTCTGTTAGAATCAAAAGACCCTCATGGCCAAGAGTGTGATGAGTGAAGTGGAGGTGACCAGCTCTGCCTGGGCCCACTGGCACCATGACCTCACAAGATCCCCTGTGAGGTCACAGCAGTTAGCTGTGTAAGGTAGGGTGTTCACCCCAGAGACTCTTTGTGGGTGAAGTAGATTGGTGTTTGGAGTTGAGTTGGCGTTTTGAGATTCGAAATTTTTGTCATTGATTTTATAAAGCCTAGTTCCATCAGGGCACCCTTCGAGGTGGGTAAAACATCTTTGCTGGACGTCATGTCATCGTCCACAGAAATGTCATCGTTCACAGGAAACTTCCATCAAGACTATGACGTGCTGATGCCCCTTGGTGAGGGTCACTTTGCCAAGGTGGTACTCGCTGAACATGTGAGCACAAGGATGCTGGTAGCTGTGAAGGTACTTCAAAAGGACAAGTTGAGGCCTACTGCTGTTAGACGGGAGGTCAGCATCCTAAAGGACCTTCAGCACCCCAATATCATTCAGTTGCTGGAAGTGTCAGAAAATAGTACCACTATGTTCCTGGTAATGGAATATGCACGCGGGAAAGACCTGCAGCGACATATCAAGCGTGCTGAGAGACAGAAGCTGCAGGAGGAAAGGGCACGGCTGATATTCCGAGAACTCCTGGAGGCTGTGCAGTACTGCCATAACAGGGGAGTCATCCATGGGGACCTGAAACCGGCGAACATATTAATGGACCGTGAAGGCCACCCCAAGCTCAGCGATTTTGGCGTGGCTTTCAGGTTCCTTCCTGGCCAGGAGGTGACCACGTGTGGAGGCACCCGAAAGTATGCTGCCCCAGAGATATTTTTACAAAAGAAATACCAAGGCCCACCACTGGACATTTGGTCTTTAGGGATACTTTTATTTGAGATGCTCGCTGGGGTACGCCCATTTAGTGGGAGCCAAACACGACTGACAAAGGATGCCCTAAAGGGGCGATACCAGTTTCCCCAGCACTTCTCCAAAGAGGTGCAAAGCTTAATAAAGGGTCTTCTCAACCCTGACCCAAGAATGCGCCCTACTTTAGAGAAAGTAAGGCAGCATCCATGGCTTCAGCTTGAATCTGTCCCTTGTCATCCTCCTCAACTGCTCCCCAAGGCCACAGAAAGGGCAATATTGCACATTATGGCTGGGAAGGGGTACAACCGGCTGAAGGTGATTGATGCAGTGAAGTGCAGAAAATACGATCCTGACATGGCGCCCTTCCTGCTACTACAGGACATGGCACTCGAGAAACTCCACTTGAGGTCTGAGGTGAAGCCCACACACAAACGTGAGGCTGAAGATCTGTTTGAACAGTCCACAAACAAAGATGAGTATACAGATGAATATCAGCCATCTTCATCTCCTCCCCCTGTAGCATCTCACAAACCAAGCCGTGCTATTGCTACTACCAAGGCCTGCCAGCCCAGCCATACTACTACCATCAAGTCCTGCCATCCAGGCCCTTCTACTCCCAAAGCATCCCGTCAACCAAGCCCTGCTTCTCCCATCAAGTCCTATCATCCAGGACCTGCTACCCCTAAAGCATCCCGTCAACCAAGCCCTGCTTCTCCCATCAAGTCCTACCATTCAGGGCCTGCTACCCCTAAAGCATCCCGTCAACCAAGCCCTGCTTCTTCCATCAAGTCCTACCATTCAGGGCCTGCTACCCCTAAAGCATCCCGTCAACCAAGCCCTGCTTCTTCCATCAAGTCCTACCATTCAGGGCCTGCTACCCCTAAAGCATCCCGTCAACCAAGCCCTGCTTCTCCCATCAAGTCCTATCATCCAGGACCTGCTACCCCTAAAGCATCCCGTCAACCAAGCCCTGCTTCTCCCATCAAGTCCTACGATACAGGACCTGCTACCCCTAAAGCATCCCGTCAAGCAAGCCCTGCTTCTTCCATCAAGTCCTACCATTCAGGGCCTGCTACCCCTAAAGCATCCCGTCAACCAAGCCCTGTTTCTCCCATCAAGTCCTACGATACAGGACCTGCTACCCCTAAAGCATCCCGTCAACCAAGCCCTGCTTCTTCCATCAAGTCCTACCATTCAGGGCCTGCTACCCCTAAAGCATCCCGTCAACCAAGCCCTGCTTCTTCCATCAAGTCCTACCATTCAGGGCCTGCTACCCCTAAAGCATCCCGTCAACCAAGCCCTGCTTCTCCCATCAAGTCCTATCATCCAGGACCTGCTACCCCTAAAGCATCCCGTCAACCAAGCCCTGCTTCTCCCATCAAGTCCTACGATACAGGACCTGCTACCCCTAAAGCATCCCGTCAACCAAGCCCTGCTTCTTCCATCAAGTCCTACCATTCAGGGCCTGCTACCCCTAAAGCATCCCGTCAACCAAGCCCTGCTTCTCCCATCAAGTCCTATCATCCAGGACCTGCTACCCCTAAAGCATCCGGTCAACCAAGCCCTGCTTCTTCCATCAAGTCCTACTATACAGGACCTGCTACCCCTAAAGCATCCCGTCAACCAAGCCCTGCTTCTTCCATCAAGTCCTACTATACAGGACCTGCTACCCCTAAAGCATCCCGTCAACCAAGCCCTGCTTCTTCCATCAAGTCCTACCATTCAGGGCCTGCTACCCCTAAAGCATCCCGTCAACCAAGCCCTGCTTCTCCCATCAAGTCCTATCATCCAGGACCTGCTACCCCTAAAGCATCCGGTCAACCAAGCCCTGCTTCTTCCATCAAGTCCTACTATACAGGACCTGCTACCCCTAAAGCATCCCGTCAAGCAAGCCCTGCTTCTTCCATCAAGTCCTACTATACAGGACCTGCTACCCCTAAAGCATCCCGTCAACCAAGCCCTGCTTCTTCCATCAAGTCCTACCATTCAGGGCCTGCTACCCCTAAAGCATCCCGTCAACCAAGCCCTGCTTCTCCCATCAAGTCCTATCATCCAGGACCTGCTACCCCTAAAGCATCCCGTCAACCAAGCCCTGCTTCTTCCATCAAGTCCTACTATACAGGACCTGCTACCCCTAAAGCATCCCGTCAACCAAGCCCTGCTTCTTCCATCAAGTCCTACCATTCAGGGCCTGCTACCCCTAAAGCATCCCGTCAACCAAGCCCTGCTGTTCCCATCAAGTCCTGTAAAACCAGCCGTGCCTCTACTGAGTCATACTGGCAGCCCAATCCTGCCTCTCCCGGTGAGTCCTTCCAGCACAGCCCTGGGACTCCAAATGCTGCCTTCACTGCTGCCCCAGCCCCTGTCAGCAGTAGGAGGTGGGGCTGGAAAACTGTCAAGAGAACCATGAGAGACTGCCTGCAGGCCCTGTGCTGCTGCCCCCTATCGACGTGCAAGTGTCACAAACACAAGGTGGTCGCAGTGTAAGTACTGCACAGTAGAGAACCAGAGGTCACTCAAGGAGTCTGAGTGGTCCGGCTGCTTCCTCACAATGTGCTGTGTCTCGATATCATTTTCAACTGTCAGGGAAGAACTGTAGGGAAGAGAGGAGGGGAGGGAGAAGGGTAGGTGTGGGCAGAGGCCAGGTGTGGGTAGGAGGAGTTGCAGTGGGGTCTGCTGCAGAGGAGGCTGGAGTGACCACAGCCACCACTGTATGCTGTGTTTCCCAGTGAGCGTGCATTACACATGTCTCCTTGCCTTTGTAGTGCAGATCCATGATCCCTCCTATGGATGTGGTCATCCTGACAGCGAGGTCAGCCACACAAGTGGAAGCCACAGTGAGTTGCCTTGCAGCCCTTTGTGCAGGGAGCTGGAGGGGAGAGGAGGAGTCAAGATCACTAGTGTATCCTGTGGGCGAGAAGCAGAGGGAGGGGTTGGTGCACAGCATGGGAAGGCTGCACAGGCACCAGGAACTGAGAGCCAGCGAGAGGAAGACATGAGGAACAGGGGGGAGAGTCACCTGGCTTGTGTCCTGCTGTCTGAGGGAGGCTGCCCCAGGGACAGGGAGGGCTGGGCACCATGGACCTGACCACAACCTCCCATGAGGATGCAGGGAGACCTGGGTACCATGGACCTGACCACACCTGACCACTACCTCCCTTATTGTGCCTGGCAGTAGGGTGTGTTCTGGGAAGAGCAAGGGGTCATCTACCATCACCCCCACACATCCCCATGAAGAGACATGGACCCAAACCCTGGTCTTCTGAATGCTGTCCCCAAGTCTGTGTCTGCAAGCCTTTGAAAGGAGCCCATTGAAGTCTTGTGTCAGTAAACAGAGACTCATATCCAGCCTTGAGGGCACACAGGCATGCGTGTGGTGGGGACAGAGTTTGGAACAAGAGAAATCTCCACACGTGATGGTGTTGCTTGCCATCGTGGGAACAGTGACATTTGGTAAAGAGAAGACATTCGTGGCTTCCAAACTGTGGTCTGTGTTTGCAGCACCTGGGGCAGGATCTGAACCAGAGAGTGTTCAGGGCAAGTTGGAACATGCACATAACACATGTCATGGTGCATCTTGCTTCTGCATTTTCTCATTTTCTATCTTTGTACTTGTTTTCTGCCTTGAGGCTTGTAAATTGCTTATGGTCAGTAGTTTATTACTAGTATTGGGACCTCTTTAGGAAATGACTATTTTCAGAGATGTTCTGTAGGGGTAGCTGGCTTTGGATTCTGTCATCCCAAGATTTTGCCTCTTCTTTTCTTAAAGGAACTTTTTTTTTTTTTTCAAAACGAGAAACTATGGAATTTCTTTTTTGGTACTGGGAGTCAAACTCAGGGTCTTGTGTTTGCCAGGCAGGAGCTGTGCCACTGAGCTCCATCCCCAGCCCTGCCTCTTCAGTTCGGTAGGAATGAAGGGCTGCTGCCTGTTTGGCCCAGCACCCAGTTCTTATAGTTCTGTAGTCCAGAACTACAGGATTGTTTGTGCCCCTCAGACAACTGAGGTGGTGGTGTTCAAAGAAGATCAGTTGATGCCAATAACTCTGTCACTTTGGCTAACATAGTACAATCAGCTATAACAACTGCAACCAACACAGCCAGGAAATGATAAACTCTTATGACCAAGGACATGCCTGCTTTAATCACAGGTATGAGATTTGTAGTTACACAGCCAACTATAAGGCAAAGCAGAATATTATATACAGTAAGTATATACTCAGTAGAGCAATTTGCCCTAAAGGGAGAAAATTTATTAGGGATACCAAGAAAATATAGAAAAATAAAAGAGAGATAAGAAGACTGAAGTACAAAGGGAGATTACCAGGCCTTAGAAAATGAGTGATAAAACAGGAGCAAAAAGCAGGACCAAAAAAGAGAGAAAAATACAAAAGCTGAGAACAATGTACACAGGCAGGAAAAACAAAACACAAAGACAAAAAGTTCTCTGACTTTAAACCTGTGGCAGGCCTCTGCGGTCTGTGGTCTTATTGCAGTGTCCAGTGCAGAGAAGACAGTGGAGGCACTCCAAGCCCAGCTGCGTGCTGTCAGATCCCAGCAAGCCTGCAGTAGTGTTTCGGGCCCCTGAGTTAGCTAGAAATACTATAGGCAGGGAGACAGGGCTAGGTCCTGAAGGAGCCAGTGCAGGAGCTCAGATACCTTGCAGCTAAGGGGAGACAGGCACCTCCTGCTGTGGGCCAAACCTCAAGACAAAAGATCAAACAAATACATCCATAAGGACTGATGTTCTAAATAGCTTCTTAGCACCCCACAGAAGTCAGGAGTCACCATTCCAACCCCCTAGGGAAGATTCACTGCTCTCTAAGAATGCCTGCTTTCTAAGTGGCTCACTTCCCCATTTGTCCCCAATTTAATGAATTTACCTGAACTATTAATCTTATTGGTTAACCATAGTTCTGCCCTACCTTATGCCCATCTGCCTTGTGAGTTCCCAGTTTTGCCCACAAGTCCATCTCATCCCATGATTTTCCTCTATAAACGTCCCTGGGAAAGACAGAGTCCCACTGCTTGGGACTCCTCCTGTCTCTCTCAGACAGAAGCTTGCTTTCTCTCAATAAATATATTTTACTCTTTACCTCTATTGTTCCTAAAATTTACTCTTTGATTTTAGAGAACACGAATTCACCTTCAGCCGGTTGTACCCCTTCCCAGCCATAATGTGCCCTTTCTGTGGCTTTGGGGAGCAGTTGAGGAGGATGACAAGGGACAGATTCAAGCTGAAGCCATGGATGCTGCCTTACTTGCTCCAAGGTAGGGCGCATGCTTGGGTCAGGGTTGAGAAGACCCTTGATTAAGCTTTGCACCTCTTTGGAGAAGTGCTGGGGAAACTGGTATCGCCCCTTTAGGGCATTCTTTGTCAACTGTGTTTTGCTCCTCCTGACATAGTAGGTCAGGAGTTTCACTCCCTTATATCATTTGGAGGTCTTCCACTGAGATCATTGGAAAGAGGTGAGAATTTGCTTTTGCTTCATAGACTCTCAAGTGGGACTTATTTAGGTAACAAATTTTTATGCCTCCAACTTTGCTTTTATATTTGCCAGTTACTTTTGATAATTGCTTGCTATTTGCCCGTTGTTTTAAAGTGCTTTGTCTCATATAGTTTTATTAAAATAATGTAAATCAGCTGGGCATGGTGGCTCATATCTGGAATCCCAGCACTCAGGAGGCTAGGGCAGGAGGATCCTTGTGAGTTCCAGACCAGCCTGGGCTACAAAGTGAGCTCAAGGCCAGCCTGAACTGCATAGGGAGACCCTGTCTCAGACAAACAAACAAACAAACAAACAAACAAAAAATGTAATATAAATCCAAGTTTAAACACAGGAAAATTAAAAGGTCATGATATTTCTTTAATGCTATATACTAGCAAAAAGAGCTTCCTTATGTTTGTATAATGCCAAAGTACCTGTAATGCTACCTACTGTTCTGTATGCGACCCCCCCCGCCCCCCTCTGGGTGACCTCATATGTTAATCAATACTCCCTTCTGTAAAAAATTGTAAATCCCTGGGAACCTAACCTAATTGATATGTTAACCATTGTTGCCCTCTACAAATAACAGATGTGGTACTAAAATAAGCTGACAAAGGTTTATTAACTACTGCTAGGCTACTCTGTCCTCTGCTAAGGAAAACATTTCCTTAGCAGATTTCCTGATCCACCCCCATAACCCTTTTATAAACTGTGCTCTCTACAAAAGAGCTAGAAAGCTTTAAGGGGGACACACAGCTTTTGCAAGCTCCACCTGCACTGTGTCAGTGGGCCTAGGATAAAATAAATCAGCGCTGTTTTTTTAAAATAAAAATATGTATGCCCATTTTTGAATTCGAGTTTGGGCTTTGGAGGGCTTGTTTGTGGATTACAAGATTAAGGGGCTCACCTGGGAGTACTGGGGGACCCCTCCAAATTATTTTTTCACCGATCGATTGGCTTAACATCTGTAAGTATTTGGTTTTTTGCCTGTTTGTAATCTGAGTGTGCACATTTGTAACTGCAGATAAAATGAGACAACTTCCAGGGGCCTTTTTGCCCATTTTGTAATTTAGGGCTTTTGGGGCCCATTCGTAACTTTGGGCTTCGGCCCGTGTAGGGGTTTTTGCCCATTTGTAATTTGAATGTGCACAGTGACTGCAGACAAGCTCGCGCTTTTTCTGCACTGGATTCTGGGGGCTCTCGCCTACTTGTAATGTGTGTGGCCTATGCCCGTGTGGGGGACCTAGGCCCATGTGTATGGCCTAGACCCGTGTGGGGGACCTGGGGCTGTGTGTATGGCATAGGCCCATGTGGGGGACCTATGCCCATGTGGGGTGTTGGGGCCTGTTTGTGTTTTAGGGCCTGTTTTCACCCAGCAATCCCTGGTACTGATAAATTTTTTTTTTACTAACTTAGGGGCTTGTTGTCCATTTCTGTTGCAGGATCAATGTGGCTTATTGGACTCAAGGTTCATAACAAAAATTTCCTTTAGCTTGCCAAACTGGGGGCAGAAAAACCTTCATTTATGTCTTTAATGTTGGTTTTATCTTTTGTGGCACCTTGTTTAATGTTTTTATCCTCAACTGATTACTTGCAACCTCGGCATGTCTTTTAAATGTATTTTTCTTTATGGTTAAAATGTGAATATATGTGCGCATATATATGTATATTTATGGTTTTTAAAAATCATATTAACTTTTGCAAGTAAAAACCAGGTCATACTATAATTGAGCCAGTTAAAGAAGTTAGTTTTTAAAATGTAGCATTTTAATGTGGTGAAAAGAAATAAAATGATTACATAAGTTTTAGACTACTAAAAGAAAGTCATTTCAAGCATTTTGTTAAAGGTTTTAACAAAACCTAAAAATCAAGAGAAAAAGTAATTGACTGATAATAAATTTTAAAAAGTGGTTTTGTCTTAAAATAAAAATGTAAAAGAGAAAATGCTTTTTGTGCTATGGCTATCAAGAGCAAAGAGCTCAACAGGATGATTTGCAATATTGTGAGTTTGGGTGAGGGGAATTTCCAGGAATGCTATAGATTATAAAGACAAAGTTGAGATTTTGATTGCTTGCAAAAAACAGAGAAAAAAAATTCATCTTCTACTACAATAAGCTGATCTAAATTTAAAAGAAATAACTATTATGCCTAATGTGACTGGTGATTATAGAGATAAAATACAAGTTCTTGCATGTGCTGTGGATATCTGGGAGATTATGCGGCACAATTACTTTTGTTACCTATGAAAAAGCCTTTTTTTTGTTAAGTATGTACTTTCAGTAAAACAGTGGCCTGCCATGTGGGCAATGGCCCACCCTGGGACAAAAAAACAAAAACAAAAACAAAAAAAACAGTGTGCCATCCAGATAAAACCTGCCTGTGATCCAGAATGCCAAAACCATGTTTTCCTTTTGTCCCACCCTAAGTGGACAACCAGAGATGAGGAGGTTCCTTATGGGTATTGCCAGTTGTTCTCAGTAGCCATTAGGGCACCCCAGAAAACCTACCTTTTGCCCAAGAGAGCAGAGGTGAGGCAATTGGCTCAACAGAGACTTATTAGTCTCCCTCGGGGTTTTCTGAAAAGAGTGCAAAAGCCCTATCACATTTATACACCAGTAGTGCCTAAAAATGCAAGGGCCATTAATATTGCCTTTGTAACCCAGTCGGCCACTGATGTTAAGCAAAAATTGCAAAAGTTTGAGAGATTTGAGGAAATGCCCTTCAGTCAGTTATCAGAGGTTGCTTAAAAGATATTTGACAACCGGGAGGACCCTAAAGACCAGGCTTAAGAGATTTCTGCTGGGCAGAAAAACTGCATTGGTTGTTGGACTTTCCATAAAAAAATAAAAATAAATGACTCTTTCCTCCCAGCAGATGCAAGCCATCCAACAGATTCCAGTCCCTGTGACTAAAAACCGAGTGCAAAAATTTCTAGGAGCCATAGTCCTGACGCAGAGTTTGGGACCCTGGCAGAGGCCTGTTGCCTATCTTTCCAAGAGACTTGATTATGTGGCAGCCAGATGGCCACCTTGTCTGTGGGTGTTTTCCTCGGTAGTCATCCTGATAGAGGAGACACAAAAACTGACTTGTGGACCAAAATTCTTAATTGTCTCCTCCTATTCGCTGGAGACTCTCATCAAGCCTCCACCGGACCAATGGCTGCCCAACTCCCAAGTCATGCATTATCAAGCATTACTTCTAGATCTGACTACCATCAGTTTCAAGGGGACAGCGGCTTCAAACCCTGCCACTCTGCTGCCTGATGATGCCCCTCCTTGCCCTCCACATCTGTATTGGGGACCAGACTTGACAGATGAGCCACTATTCAGAGTTCCTTTGTATTTCTCCGATGGAAGCAATTACATTTATCCAGGTAAGTGGGTTGTGGGAGCTGCCATTACTACAGACTCTCAGATTCTATGGGAACCAAGCCTGGAGCCAAAAACATTGGCCCAACAGGCTGAACTCATTGCCCTCACTGAGACCTCAAGTTGTCAGTATGCATTTGTTACTGCCCATGTTCGTGGGACCATTTATCAAGAATGGTGCTTATTGGCTTCTGGGGCCAAAAGATTAAAAATGTTTCCCAAATTTTGGACTTGTTGGCTGCCATCTGGATGCCAGGAAGAGTGGCTATTATCCACTATAGAGCCCATTGAGCAGGAGATGGCCTTGTTATATGAGGAAATAATTTGGCAGATGCCACCACCCAAAAGGCAGCTGTAGAATCAGTGGGGATTTGAGATAGCCCTGACATCACTGCATTCCCACCTACTTTGTCAGAGCCTATTTGCACTTGAAAAGACTTGCATTTGGGGGCTAATATCAAAGCTTGCCCAGTCTGTGAGTCTCAGATGCCCTCAGTGCCATTTGGTGAACCCAAAGCAGCCACTCACTAAGTGGGACTATGCCTAGAGAACACTGGAAGGTAGACTTTACAGAAGTGGGGAAGCCTGGACTTCAATGATATGAGTATTCACTTATAATGGTTGATACTTTCACTGGATGGGTAAAAGCTTTTTCTACAAAATCTGAGTCAGCTCTGATAGTAGTCAAAAAACTCTTACATGAGGTTGTCCCACAATTTGGCCTCCCCTTATCAATGGGGCCTTACAATGGGCCGGTTTTTATGGCCCAGATAACTCAAAAACTAACCAAAGTCTTGCAGATCAATTGGAAACTCCATTGTGCTTACTGCCTCCAAAGTTGAAGACAAGTAGAAAAGATAAACCAGACATTAAAGATGGTAATTACTAATGGCCTTAGAAACTGGTGAGAACTGGGGAGTCTCCTTCCTTTTTTGACCTCTTGTATGCACAGTGTACCCTCTATGTTACTGGTATTTCCCCTTTTGAGGCTTTATATGAGAGAACTCCTCTTATACCTAAGATTTTTGAGGAAAAATTAGCTGATTTAGCTAATCAAGATCTTATTAAGTCTCCCCAAACTCTTTAGCCAGTTCTGACTTCCACCCACTGGTTATTTTGACAACAACATCCTCCACCTGCAGCCCACTGAGAGAACAAACACCCTTCTGTAGAGCCTGAGTCACCTGTGCTCATCAAGAGGCTTCACCGTGGATCTCTTGAGCCATTGAAAAGGTCCCTACATTGTAGTCCTCAGCACTCCAACTGCTATCAAAGTAGCCAGAAAGCCTGCCTCGATGCATCATTCCCACTTCAAGCAGGTCCTGGCTTCCAAAGGCGATCAACCTACAGATAAGTGGACTGTCATTCCCTCCAAGGACTCTTTAAAGCTCAAGACTGCCAAATGTAACTAATAATCTTGTGTTCTCCCTTATAGAAACCCCAAGGAAACCTCTATCTGGCTTGTAAAAAAATTGTTAATTATGTGACAAAACAGTGAATTTAAATGTTGGTTTTCTTTCTCCTTTTGGTTAACAGCTTTAATAATGACAGCTGCAAGAAATTTGTTAATCTTCCTATTGGGCCTTGTATTATACTCAGATTGGAAAACTATGTCAAAGATCAGGTTCAAATTATACAGCTTATGATTTTAAAGACGCAAGGTTATAAACAGGTACCTATGTCTGAAAACCCATGAGCCAATGATTTGGTGCACTGACTAAAATCAGTGGGGAATGCTGTACACTAGCAAAAAGAGCTCTGTTACGTTTGTATTATGCCAAAGTACCTGTAATGCCGCCTACTGTTTTGTATACATTTTCCCCCCTCTGGGTGACCTAACTGATATGTTAATCAATGCTCCTGTCTGTAAAAAATTGTAAATCCCGGGGAACCTAACCTAATTGATATGTTAAACATCGTTGCCCTCTACTAATAACAGATGTGGTGCTAAAATAAGCTGACAAAGAATTAACTAATGCTAGACTACTCTGTCCTCTGCTAAGGAAAACATTTCCTTAGCAGATTTCCTGATCCACCCCCATAACCCCTTTACTTTGTAAACTCTGCTCTCTACAAGAGGCTAGAAAGCTTTAAGGAGGACACACAGCTTTTGCAAATTCCAACTGCACTGTGTTACAGGGCCCAGGATAAAATAAATCAGCGCTGCTTTTTGAAAATAAAAACATGTCTTGCCCATTTTTGAACTTGAGTTTAGGCTTTGGGGGGCTTGTTTGTGGATTACAAGATTTAATGGCATATTTTTATTATTTTATTCTTTCACATGTTATATTAGTTGCTAAAGTTACTGGTATTCCTTGCTTAACTATATTTAGACAATAGCACCACAGATAATAATAGAACACCCTGAATAGTCTTTAATATAAATTTCTGTTAAATGGTTTTCTTAAATGAAATCTAGTTCAGACTTAGAAAACATACATGCCTGCAATAAAACATGGGACTCGTTCCACCATTTAAGAAGCACTAGGCGGGTGGCCATGCTTCCGGATTTGGAGCACAGGTTTCATTGAGACAGACTGGCTCTGCTCCTCCTTTATACTCCAGAGGAATGTCAAGCCTGTTCTGTTTCCTTTGTTTCACTTTATCTCTTACTCTCTTGCCACTTTACATTTTCCTAATAAAGGCATATAAAAGTGGGAAAAACTCTAGATTATTCCAACCTTTTCCTTTTGAGTTAAGCCCATAGAAAATGAGCATTTGCTAATGCCAAGAACAGGGAAGTCATCTTAGATGAGGGACACATACCCCATCTCTGGGTCAGATGAGACATCAGAATTGTGCCTATTCAGGAGAATACACATGAGAGCGGTGTCCCAGCTCAGTGTTCTGGGCAAATCTCCTTTGGAAATTAAACCTGAGACACAGTGGGGAGAACCAGTTTCCATGGGGCAATGGAAGCAGCTATCCTTAAAAGCAGCACACATAGGGGACGTAAACCTATTTAGAATAAGGAGGCTTTCCAACCTCTCAAATTATGGACTTAAAAACCTTTATTATAAATTGATAAATGTGTAGGTAATGATCTTGCAGTCTTTTAATTATCCCTTATAGAATTTTGACACACAGTGGTCACTGTGCCAGCTAATCATCCTTACAGCAACTGCCACCCTCAAAATCAGAGGCTAGCTTTCCCCAGCATCTGTTAGGTGAATCCCCATTGAAGCCAGTGGCCAATGGATTCAACAGAATGTTGACCAGACAGGCAGCTGGATTCCTTTTTGGAGACTGATTTCTGGTTATCTGAGGCAATAGAAACTGAGAACTGAGGGTTCCTGGCCAGAGCAACACCCTGGTTGTCACCCAACATTTCCTCAAAGGACATTTGCTCATGACCACTTAAAATCTCCCCTTTTCTATTATCCTTATTTCTCTGCTAGTAGACTAAAAACATTCTAAACTTTTCAATAGATCTTTAGATCACTTAGACTACCCATCCCTTCAGAGATTATACTGAGGTAGTTTGCAATGATTGCTTACATTCCATAGCAGCTAGTAGGGAAATGATTTACCTATGTTAATTAAAACTAAATAGACTTGAACAATTATTTATAAGATGACAATATGTAATCTATTAACTAGTGATTTCTATTTTTTTGAAATTCTGTATTAATTGTACTCTTTTTCTGTTTTTTCTTTTCTCTTTAAATAAAATTTTTTAAAAAGTAGGACTTCCGGGACAACATGGTGGACAGATAGCAGATACTACGGAGGCTCTCTGAAAGGCTTGGTTCAGAAGTCAGGAATGGTGCGGACTAAGGAGACATAAGCCGGTAGAGATATGCTCTGCTGACTCAGGAACAAACTGGGCTGAGAGAAACCAACTTGGAATGCAGTCCTGGTGCTAAAACAGGAACAGAAAAGCCTCGGTGTGGAGTCTAGACCCCGCGCCAAAGGAAGCCATGATTTGGGTTTCCTGGCGCACTGCGGCTGGCTGCCTCTACATCGGCTCGGCAAGGACAGAGACACGCAGAAGCTCTGAGAACGGGAGTCTGTGAACGGAGTCGAAAACAGGATAGCCAGGGAGGCGTACACTGACTTGTGGTGAGGTGAGTGAGAGAAACTGACACTCTACCACAGTTTGACTCCAGTGGAGGACTTTCTGGGCCCAGGCAGTCCTGCGGGAGCAGGGCGCGGTGGCGACTCCAGCCACACATTCCCCTCTCGGACGGGATTGGTGAAAAGTGCCTGGCCTGCGTGACGCTGCTGGTGGACTAGGTAGGCTGGCCCAACCCAGATCCCAGAGCCTGACGGTGGCCCGGAGGGGCGACTCCCATGTAGGCTGCCTAGTCCGTAACTCCCTGGTGCACTGCGTTGGGTGGGAACACCTAGTCAGCACAATTCGATCAGGCTGTGGCTGACAGGGAGGGAAGCTGGGCCTCCTGTGTAAACTTGCATATATAAGGAACAGAAAATATGGGAAAAGGCAGCAACAAGAACGGCTCCTCGGCCCCCAATTCTGAGAAACAGGCAATAGCGGACACCGCACCAATAGACATAAAGCGCCATATAGAGAGCCTCATAGACCAATTCAGGAATGAAGTTATCAACGACCTGAAGCTAGAAGTATGCAGAATAGTTAGAGAAATGCTAAGCACCACCCTGGAAAAAACAGATGGTGGAATGGAAGAACAGAAAAAGAGGGGAGAATTGTTTGATGGAGAAAACAGAGAAAGCATAGAGTATGTGAAGCAGGTTCAAAGGGACTATCAAGAAACTAAGAAGTCTATCCAAGACTGGCATAACAGCTTGAAGGAAACTAAGGACAGACTATCTGAACTGGAGGGCATGCTTGTAATATGGGAGAATGAAATGAAAAACTTCTTAAAAATAACAAAGAAACAAACAGCAATAATAGAAAGACAAGAAGATGATAAGAGGATCCATAACTTAAGGGTTAAGAACATAAAAGAAGAAGTAGGGACACAAACAAGTGAACTACAAAAGCTACTCACAGAAATAATCCAGGAGAATTTTCCTAATTTAGCAAAAGGTAAAGATACTCAGATGTATGAGGCATACAGGACCCCAGCTACCTACAACCCAAACAGAGCAACACCCAGGCATATAATAAAAATTCCAGAAATTCAATAAAAGAACAGAATATTAAAAGCTGTCAGAGACAAGAAACAGACCACTTACAAGGGAACACCCATCAGAATTACAGCAGATTTCTCTGCACAAACCATCAAATCATGAAGAGCGTGGGGGGAAACAATTCAAACTTTTAAAGATAATAATCTCCAGCCAAGATTGAGATATCCTGCACAACTGTCCCTGGAAATTGATGGAAAAACAAGGTGCTTCCAGGATAAAGAGGAACTGGGGGAATTTGCAACCACCAATTCAACTCTATAGAAAGTATTGCAGGATATTCTAAAAAAAAAAAAATACAAAGAACCCAGAAATAGTGGTGGGGAGGCCACAACGAATGGAGCAGAGAACAAAATGAAGAAGACAAACTGACAGCTACTGACAGAATAAGAGCTCAACAGAAATGAGACAGAGAAGATTGGATGATAGGAACAGCTATTTTGGAGAAAATGACATCTTAATAGGTAATACTGATTTAGTATCATCTTGTTTTAAAGTCTCATCTAGCTTTTGTTCTTCTGTCTCCAATGGTCTAAATAGGTTGTATCTTATTGGAGTTTATTATGTACGATAGTATAAGCAAAAACCTTTTAAAGACAAGGAGATTATACAGAAACCATTGTTCATTTTCTGTTAGTCGATTCTAAATACTCTGTAATGCTGTCATTCTCTTAAATGGTTTTACATTGTTTTGATAAACTTAATGCTACCGTATACGAAGTTGTACTCAAGGACTTCAAGGAAAGAGTCAATATGGTAATTACTTTGGGTTGGAATTATCTGGTGGTGAAACACTATTCTGCTTAAATGTTTATGTTTTGATCTGCGCTGTTTCGCTGTTATGCCCTTTTTTATCCCAATCTCCACTCCATTATTTACTCTTTTATTTTTATTCATTTAATTAAAGGGAAAAATAGCAGGATATATTATAGTAACCCACTTTGACTTTCTATTATCTCAATTTGAAGCCTTGTATTACTCTCACCATCTTGTTTTTGACTGATGTTCCCCTATTCTGTTTTGCTGGATATTATCAGGTTCGAACGTTTAGGCATCAGCTGTGAAGATAATGAGATTCATTATGACGCCCATTCTCGTTGACTTTTATCTACTTTTGAAGACCTACAAAGTCTCCAATGGTTTGCTTTTGTCGGTTTTGTTCTTTACTGTTTTGTTCAATTGTATTATAACTAATGATATAGGCAATTCAATTAGAGATAGCTGGAGGCATTATGGTAACCACTGTTGATCACCGTGTATTATGTTTTTACATTATCTATTATGTCCACCCTTTTGACTTGACCGATTCTGTTCTGTTATGTCACATTTGGTTTTACTCTCTTCCAAAAAAGCAATAAGAACCGTGGGAGCAATGAAACCCAAAATGTGTAATAGTCATTGTACAAAAGAGAGGAAAAGAAAGTGCTCTAAACTATATAACTGCATGTATATTTAAGTGTATAAGTTAGAAAATGATATCACAGAGTTTTAAATCATTGAACAGAACTGTTTGCAGTATCATTGTTGGAATGTCCACTCTACAAGCTTTAATTTTGTGACTTTAACAATTATTTCTAAGATGGCAATATGTAATCCATTAACTAGTGATTTCCTACTGTTCATTTTTTTTCTGTAAATCTGTATAACTTGTACCCTTTCACTGTTTTTTTCTCTTTTCTCCTTAAATAAAATTTAAAAAAAAAGTAACTAGGATTTTCTGTGTGACTAGAAGACTGATGTGCCTCTTTCTAACTTAAAATGTGACTGCTAGATGATAATTTATAAATTTAACCTGTGAGCTTCAAAGATACAGAAATTTAAATGAAGTATAGCCTTGTCCTGTTACTAAGAAAGGTTACCTAGATAATTAAGTGAGAGACAAATGTCTGGAGACTCTTTTGCCCAGATTAAGGAGTAATGCTCCTCCAGTCAGTTGTTCTATCTATCTCTAGAGGAGAGTTACTCTAAAAAACCTGAAAAGTACTCTACCACCAACTCACCTTTTAATGTATGCTCCCTTATAATACATGTTTACAAAGTCATGCTTCCTTCGCTAAACATTCTTTATGGAAACAAAGCTCATGAGCTATCTGGGAATATAGGATTGTGTGCCAGTTCCAGGGTAGATAGGCTGACAGAAACTATGGTCCATTCTCTCCAGAAGGCATTCACCTGCCCTGGAGCAGTTTCAACCCAAGAGACACGTGGGGAACATCTATCAAACAGGAAAAAAAAGGACACCTTATTTTAACTCATTTTATGTATAACTAGATAGCTCAATATCACTCATAGCTCATCAAACGGTCCTTAGTTCAATGCCTGGGTACAGAAAAGGTTTCATACTTATGCCTTGCTTTTACATTATAGACATGGACAACAAAATGTCAAAGCCCATTCTCCTTTGGAACACATTCTTAGGCACTAGATGTTCGAGCCTTCCATGTTGAAAAAGATCCAATTGGTATTTCTCTGCATGAGTGTGTGGCCTACCTACCCCCAAGAGCCTTAGTGGAATACAGAGGTAAGTATTAATTATGATCCTCTTTTACAACTAGAGACATACAATGAAAAGGAGGGGAAAAGGTCAGTGCTGTCCTACATTCAGACTTTCTATGCATTGGGAAATACTTCTTATTTATATTCTAAATGTAAATGTGAGTAACAGGAAAACTCAGCACCTTGGGCTCTTAAGGCATCTTCTACCCAAGAGCCGAAAATTGCACCTCCTGAACCTTTAGAACCTGAGGACAAAATAGCCTTAATCAAATCCTCCCCCCCTTTTTTAATGAACCTAAGGTTTCCCCCACCTGCCCTTCCAGCCTTAAGGATAAAGCTTCTAGGCCAGCTGTAATCCAGGCCTTTCCAGGACTATACCCATCCTTAGCTGAGTTTAAGCAAGCTCCTCAAGGGCAGTATCCTTTGCAGGGAGTACATGGATGATCTGGAACTTCCAGAATTCATGTACCTTTCTCTCTTGGTGACCTAAAACAAATAAAATTAGATCTTGGGAAATTTTCAGATGAGCCTGACAAGTACATTCAGGTCCTTAGAGGACTTACTCAGGCATATTAAGTAGATTGGAAAGATGTAGTGTTACTCTTAAATCAGACATTCATTTCTAGTGAGAGACACGCAGCATTACAGGCTGCTATTGCCTTTGGATATGAATACCATATTGTCAATTTTAGAAGGCCAGAAGATAAAGGGAAATAACTTTAGCAACTAGTTTAAATTTAACTTGTGCAAGAATAAAATAATAAAAATATGCCATTAAATCTTGTAATCCACAAACGAGCCCCCAAAGCCCAAACTCGAGTTCAAAAATGGACAAGACGTGTTTTTATTTTAAAAAAGCAGCACTGATTTATTTTGTCCTGGACCAGCGACACAGTGCAGTTGGAGTTTGCAAAAGCTGTGTTCCCACTGGATCACAAACAGTCCCTATGCAAGACTCTTACTGGGCCCACAACCAGGTGAGTGATTGGATTAGAAATCATTTCCAGACATGTGTTCTTGAAGGCTGAAGAAGAGTGAGAACTAAACCATTCAATTATTTTAAGTTATCAGTTATTCAATAAGAAAAGAAGGAACAATTTTCTGCCTCCTTAGATGGATTATGAGAGGCATTGATAAAGCATACTTCTTTAGATTCTGATTCAATAGAGGGACAAATTATCCTTAAAGATAAGTTTATTACACAGTCAGCCTCAGCTATTAGAAAAAAGCTACAAAAGATGGCTTTTCCTCCAGATAGTCCACTTGATACTTTATTTATTCATTCATTTTGTGTGTGTTGGAGTTTGTGGATCAAACACAACACACATTTGACAGGCAAGTGATTTTGCTACTGAGCTAAACCCCCAGCTCACTTGATACTTTAGTAAAAGTTGCCTCCTCAGTATTTTATAACTGTGATGAGAGGAAGGTCAAAGAGAGAAAACAAAGAGACTGAGAAAAAGCAGCTGCTTTTGCGCAGCATTAAGAGAAACAGACCCTAAGTCTGATTCTCAGGTCTCCAAGAAGAGCTCAACGATGACTTTCACCTGCCATCACTGCCACAAGCCAGGTGACCTTAAGAGGGACTGCACTCAAAAGCCCCCTGGGCCATGCCCTGACTGCAGACGTGACCACTGGATGTCAGACTGCCCTCTCAGCCCAAGGCCCCACCAGGGTTCAGATTCATCCTACCTTTACCTCTTATCAAAATAACAAATACACCTCAAAACCTAGGCCTCAGTCCGCTTGAAATGCCTTATGGATGCCCTTTCCTCACTGATGATTTTCTCTTTGTCAGAGAAACAGATGCCTTATAAAAAGACATCACCTCATTGGCTAAATTCCAGCAAACTCTTCAAGAGCTTACAGAAGCTCAGCCTACAGAGAAAGGAAAACCTATCTTCCACCCTGGAGATTTAGTACTGGTAAAATCCCCTCCCTCATCAGCCATTGGGAAGGACCTTACACTGTGATCCTGTCGACTTCTTCCATGCTGAAGACAAGAGGCCTGGACACTCGGATGCATCACACCTGACACAAACCCTGGAAACTTGAGACTATCACTGGATGTGAACAACCACCCACATACTCCTGTGAACGCACAGAAGACCTAAGATTCCTCTTCAAGAAGAAAACAAAGACTTCAGGTAAGTAAGGCTACTATTAGCCCTTTTACTGTTCCCTTCACCACTGAAAGGAGGATGCAACTCCTTTTTAATGTGGGCACAAGCATATGCAAAATCATTACAACACACCTCTTGCAGGATATGTGGCTCACTGCCCTTGTCCAGTACATCAGGACTTCCTTGGTGGGTGTCTCCACTTCAAGGATGTGATTGGAATAAATTACAGGACTATAGTAATGAGATAACAAAGAAGTTCAGTATTCATAGTTCAGCCCACAATTGCATAGTAATAAAATGGCCTCTGAATATTATATTCTTAATGATCCTGTAAATTACATTGCTAATGATCCTGGACATAATCAGATTTTTTTCTTATAATGCCACTGGAGCCTCTCTACAGGCCTGTAAGGCCCCTGGTAGATAAAAAGAAAGGTCCTATCCTAAGGGCCAACAACCATAGATATCAATATGGCTATTTTCAAATATGGGATGAGTATCTATGATTAACTCCCACCATAGGATATCTCAGTAGAAAATCCCCCTTATGTTGGGAACAAAAACACCACTTTTATTCTGGTTGGCCTAATGCCACTACCCACCTGGGGTGGACAGCCCTTGAACAATGTGGACACACAAGTAACTTTTCAGGCTAATGACTGGTTTGCAACAGACTGGTTTAATGGCCCTGGAATCAAATGGGGAGCCCCGAATGGCACTCATTGGTCTTGTGGAGCCTATCTGTGGCCCTGCCTGGGCTCTGGATGGATAGGCAGACGCACACTAGGATTTGCATGGTTACAAGGCAGGAGTATCAAAAATGTCGAAAAACCGGCAAATTTACCCACGTACAACATCGAAGGTACAGAAGTGTGTTCCACTGGTATGATCATTTGGCCTCTGTGTTTATCCCTTCCCTAGGATTAGAAGACATCATGCAATGTACTGAGGCCTTGACTAACTATACCGAGTGGGCCTTAAATGACACTGCTGCTGGTCCCTCTTAAATAAGGAAAAAAAAAAATAATGAGACAGGCTGTCCTTCAAACTCAGATGACATTAGACATTCTAACAGCAGCACACAGAGGCATTTGTGCCATTGTAAAAACTGAATGCTGTGTATATATACTCCTGACTCTTCTGCTAATATCTCAGTAGCTATTCAAGACATTAGATACCAAGTTAACAATATGTAAGGTTCTTAAGACTCCTGGACCTTGTCTTTCTCCTTCTTATGGAAATCTATTACTAGTTCCTATTGGTGGAAATCTTTGTTACCTATACTCATAATTGTTCTACTGGTTTTATTCTTTGCCCCATACATACTCAACTGTTTCTTTGTCTTTGTCTCCTCCAGACTTAGAGCTGTATGCCTACCCATGATGAAAATGCCTGGTATCTATTGAGGGCCTCTAGACAGGATCTCTGCAGAAGTATCTCTGACTGCTGGTCACCACTACAACCCTCTTCAGCCTGAAGAAGCCAGATCAGTCATCACCCATGACACCCTCATGGCAGTTCTTGTTACTTCTTCAGAGAGGGGACTGTTATAAGCAGCTGAGTTAGTTAGAAATACTACAGGAAGTGAGACAGGGCTAGGTCCTCAAAGGAGCCAGTGCAGAAGCTCAGATACCTTGCAACTAAGGGGAAGACAAGCACCTGCTGCTGTGGGCCAAGCCTCAAGATAAAAGACCATACAAATACATCCATATCCTAAGGAGTGAAGTTCTAAAGAGTTCCCCAGCACGCTGAGGAAGTAAGGAGTGACATTCCAAACCTTTAGGGAAGATTCACTGCTCTCTAAGAATTCCTGCATTCTAAGTGATTCCCTTCCCGTTTTGTCCCCACTTTAATCAATTTTACCTGAACTATTAATCTTATTGGTTAGCCTTAGTTTTGTACCACCTTATGCCCATCTGCCTTGTGAGTACCCAGTTTCCCCATGTTAAACCCTTTGTATGCCATGATTTCCTAGAACCGTCTGGAAAATATAGAGTCCCTGGCAACCCGCTTTTGTCTCTCTCTCAGACAGAAGCTTGTTTTCTCTCAATAAATGTATTCTACTCTTAACCTCTGTGGTTCCTAAAATGCATTCTTTGATTTTAGAGGACATGAACTCACACTGGACATAGTGGGCTGGGAATTTCATTCCCTATATCAATAGGATCAGGGCTGAGTGCTGATTCTGGTGTTTTCAACTCCACAGAAGGTTAGGCTGATCCCGGCCTCTGGCTGTGGAGCTGACTGAACTGTTCAGCCCAGGACACACTGGATGTGTCTCACCAGGCTGACTTTGGCTCCCTGACCCTGGACACCTCCTGCATTTCTCCCTCACCCAGCCACTGTGGGATTTCAACACTACGAGGACTGAGATGAAGCCAACCTGCAGCTGCTCAGAGTCTCAGATCAGTTGAGCTGTCCCTAAAATGGCTTCTAAAAGGTAGTTGATGGCAGCCCACTGAGGTACTATAAGTGTGGAGAGCAGTAGCTTATATGCTCCATCCAGCTGCTGAGATCCTTTGGATTGAGGGAAGGGATGGTCATGCCAGTGTAAACCAGCAGCCGTTATTGAAATAAAGAACAAAGAAACATATTGCGCATACTTAGGTTATGTAATTTGTTTGCTGCTTGTCCTTACAGGACCTCCTGTTTTTACCTTGGTGGGGGAATGTTTGAAGGTCTGCACCTTCTACCAAAACGCCATCAACCAGATGTGTGCAGGACAAAATGGAGTCAGTGTGGCTTCTTTACAGGTGGCCATTGCTCCCTTCTGCTGCTGAGGTCTCGCAATCCTTCTATAGGCACTGTGGATTAGTCCCTTCCTTGTAGCTTTTCCATTAGTTCTTAGTTCTGTAGTTAAGAACTACAGTACTTAGAGTGCATTGCTGTTGTTTGTATATCTCTCTCTGCTGCAAGACTGTCTTTTTCTTGAGATGCAAAGTTTTATATGTTCTTGTCTTTTTCTTTTTGGCTGTCCTGGGAATTGGACCCAGGGGCACTGTATCACTGAGGTACAACCCTAGCTATCATCATCATCATCATTTACTTTGAGATGGAGTCTCACTAATTTGCCCATGCTGGCCTTCAACTTGTGATTCTCCCACCCAAGTCTCCAAGTTGCTGGGGTTACAGGACTGCATTACCATTCTTGGCTACATGTTTATCTTTGAATCTCTGCCTACTGTATAATTCCCTACTGTTAATGCCCACCAGCATGTTTTCTTTTTTTTTTGAGTAATGAAAGGAGTGAATGAATTCACAAGGTATGAGCCCTGAAAGCAGGTTCTGGATGTGGAACGGATAAATCAGCAAGCAAGATACCTTTAATATGAACTCACCTCAAACACTAAATCAATCTGTAGGCAAGAGGACTGAGCATCAGATTTTCTGGGTTGGGGTGTAATTTGTTGGTAGAATGCAAGGCTGTGGGTTTGATCCCCAGAACTCAGAAGAAACAAAAAGAAAAGAAAAAGCAAGGTATGGTGTGCACACCTGTAATCTCAGTGCTCTGCAAGGCAGAGCCAAGAAGATTCTAAGTCTGAACCTAGCCTGGGCAATTTAGCAATACCCTGTCTCAAGCAAATAAAAAATAAAAAAGGCTAGGGATGTATCTCAGTGTGAAGACACTGGCTTCAATTCTTTGTGCCAATAAAATAAAATAATAATGCAAGTTCTAAAGATAGTGTATAGCCAAGCTTGAGGTAGACAAGATTTCATTTAGGTGCTTTGGAAATGAGATTTATAGATAATTGGTCTTGACTGCTGTTAACAAATACATTTTGTGTTTTGGTGGGCCAGGCATGGTGGTGCACATCTGTAATTTCTGCACTTGGGTAGTTGAGGCAAGAGAATCGTTGCCAGTTCCAGGCCAATCTGGGCTACAAATTCAGCTGACGGTCAGCTTGAACTCATAGTGTAGAGAGTGTCTCAAAAAAAAAAAATTCCATGGAAGCATACATAATGCTCTCCTGAATCCTTAAACAAAAAGTGCTGAGCACAGTTGGGTAACGGCCATGAGAATTCAGTGCTGGTGCCATGACCGCCCTCCCTCCCCACCTCTTACACCTCCCACCACCTTCCAAGAGGGCCACAGGTTTTTGGACAGACATATACCCAGCAGTATTGCATGGTATGTGAAATGACAATCAGTGCATGTTTCCAGCAGAATTATTTCTCCTTAACATAACATCAACTGATGAGTGGAAAGGTAATATTTATTATTCAAAGGACTTCTAGAAAGTCTCAAAAAAGTCTATGGATTTATCACTGCCTTTGAAAGCATGTTGCCATGATCTAAATCCTAAAAATGCTATGCTTTCTCCATCCTTCCCTGAAATCACACTTAAATTCAGTATCACCAGTGCTGGTTTACATTCAATTCAAGGCAGCAAGGCTAAAAATAGCCTTAATGACACACACAATGCATTTTCCTAGGGAAAGACTATGAGCTTATAAGTGTCTCAGCCCAACAGGCAATTCTCAGCTGATGCCGGAAATGGGTACCTTTTCCTATCAGGCACACAGCCAACTGACGTAATTTGCCTTAAATAGCTAAAGTGGGAAGGGGACTGCTGTTACAGTTGTTCTGACTTCTTAAAAATGCTTATCTTTTTCTGGCTGTGGCATATCAAGAGCTGCCATCTAAAGTTAACAGTGATTTGCAGAGCTTTCACTTGGGCTTTCATGTGTGAAGCCAGGGTCAGGTGTAACTGGAGAACGCACTGGACAAGGAGCTGGGAGCCCCGGGCACAGCTCCTTGCTGAACTGCTGCTGTGACCTCGAGCAAGGCACAAAATTACTAAGCTTCAGTGTTTCATTTTTCAAATGAAAGGGCTGGATTTTCTTGCCAAAGATTTTTGTAGTTCCAATAGTCAAGAAGATGAAAGGATATTTCAAGATATTTCATTGAAATTGCTCACATAGAGAAAGGGCCTTCTGGGAAGATATAGTTATGTTTTTAGATAAGAAGCGCTCATGGTGGGGTAGGGGATTATTGCAAATGTGAACATGAATGCAACCTGTGAGATGACCAGTTAGAATGGAAGGGCACTCTGTGGATTCCTTATCTAACATACAAGGAAGCCAGAAGCCTGAGAGGAAAGGCATCTCTGGGACTGCAGACTCTGGTTCCATGGTCATCTCGCTCTTGGCAGCAAGCCCAATGCTTCCTTGGGTTCATAAAACCAGATGCCATTAGTCAGTGTGAGTTTTTAGGCTGTGCAGAGGTGAGGAATTGTTTTTCTGGAATACCTCCTTCATGTATCTTACAATGGCTTATAGGACAGAAGGCTGGAGTGGATCATCTTGTAGCTATGAAACACAATGTAGTAGTACTGTGGTTAGTCAGCTTTTTCTTGTTTTGACAAAATACCTGACATAAACAACTCAAAGATTTATCTTGGTTCCTGGTCCCAGAGGTCTCAGTCCACGTCACATGGCTCCATTGCTTCTAGGGATGCAGGGAGGCAGAAGCACCTTGGCAGAAGGACATTGAAGAGGAAAGCTGCTCACACCATGGCAGCTCAGAAGAGAGATGGAAAAGCCAGAGGAGAGGCAGGAACCAGATACCATGCCACTGTCATGCCTGTAGTGTCCACTCCTTTCAAGTCATCCTCATCTCCCGTTTCCACCACTTCCCAGCATTGCCATTAAATTATGATCTCATCAATAGATTAATGCAATGATTAGGTTAGAGATCACCTGGTCAGTTACTTCTAAAAGCCCCACTTCTGTGTGAATTTTTGGGGGGACATCTGAGATCTAAACTGTGACAAGTATCCAACTTGTCTTGAAAAATCAAACTGAGGATTGGCTTCATTAGCTCAGAGCTAGAAGAAAAACTCTTGTTAACTCTTACTGTCCTAATACGTTAGCTACTTTGGCACCAGATTTTGATTTGCTGCACACTAAACAATTCTATAGTTTCCTATAGGTAACAGGACTGTGTCCTACAATTTAATTCAAGTCTGATGCTACCTACCTAGAGATAATACAGACTTTCCAGTTGAAAAGCTCAGGATCAAAAGACTGACTCTGCTTCAGACACCAGTGCTGTCTGGTGGGTTTCTAGGTTTCCCACAAATTCTGTCTGACTTGACTGTAAATCAGAGGTTCCTACAAGTCCTTCCTCAGACCTGATAATTTGTAGGATGGCTCAAAGAACACAGTTTACTGCCTAGGTCACCAGTTTTTGTAAAGGGTAACCACTCCAGAACACCACGTGGAAGAATGTGACACTTCCTTCTTCTCCCTCTTGGGGGCACCACCTCAAGGTGTTCAACTCTTGGAAGATCTCTGAACTTTACTTTTTGGGATTTTTAAAGAGGTGATCTTACTGCCATGACTGGTTTAATCGTTGGCCACAGGTGATTAAATCAATGTGATGGTTAACCCTGATTGTTAGTTTGAAAGTTTTCACCCACCACTCTCTGCTCTCACTGATCCTTGCAAAACACTTTGTTACTCTGCTCTAAAAACAAAACATTGTGAAAAAACTGGTAATAGAAACACATTCAAACTTGAATAACTTTTCATCACTAGAACTCTGAACTTACCTAAGATCACAGCAGCTAGAGCAGCGGTGAAAGCAGATTACTGAATTAACACAACATACAGTGTATCTATCCATGTATGTCAGCATGTACTTTGCAAAGGCTTTCCTTGAATTTGTTTAGAATGCACCTTTGGAAATTCCTTGCAGTGTATGAAAGAATAATGCTCTTGATTCCTTTTACTTCTTCCATTCGCATCCTTGTGATAGACTGAAAACTCTGCTTGGAACCATCCATGGTGACAAAGTGAAAGTATTCAATGTTTACCTCTATGTATCTAAATAAATATCTATCTAGAGATATCAGTATAGAGGTAGAGCTATAAATACATATGTATGCCCTTAGCCGCAGTGCCATAATTCATGATAGGCATGGAAAAGGAGTAAAATAGAAATGTCTTCTCTCAGAGAACTAAAAATCTACTGGCAGACCCGAGGACTAAGAAAGAAAAATTAATAAATGATTAAGATTATGTTGACTGTGAATAAAACATTCATACTTGGGCCCCTGACTTCTTAA